ACATCTTCTCCCAGGGGTGTGTGCAGCCCCGCTGGCACAAGGCAGGGCTCTTGCTGCTGTGGCCATGGCAGGTGGAGGCAAGAGGAGCAGAACTCCATGGTGCTGCCAGGCTGTGCCCCGTGTCTGCCCTGGGGCCTGGGGCCTGTGCTCAGGTGTGCAGAGCCCCCAGAGCTGCCCCTGGGGAATGGGCCTGGCCTCTGGCTGCTGGCCCAGCTGGGGGTGCCTGTTGCCCAGGATGCTGCAGCACATCAGCCAGCCCCAGTGGGGCTCTCCAAAGCTCAGGGCAGCTGCACTGGTCCAGGGTGCAGCTCTTTATTCAGCTGAGGCAGGCCAGGAGCTCTGCTGGCTGCGGTCACAGCTGGGACACCAGCACACCTGGAGACACCTGCATGGGGCTGCCTCACTCTGCACCTCCACCAGAACCTGTGTTTTAGTGCAGCCCCCTAACAGGTTGGTCCTGGTTGAGCAGTGAGACCCAGCAGGACAATGAACAACAGCTCCTGAGCTGAGATGTCCAGTCCCAAGCTGGCACCTCTGAAAGTGACACAGCTTGCATGAGCTGTTGGCACCCTGGCACACTTTGTCCATGCCATTCACAGGAGAATAACTGGTGTCTGATGCTGACACTTGTGTGGGTGTTGTGGCATCCTCTGATTGCAATTGCACACTCAATGTCCTGCAAGGATGCTCTGGGCCCTGTGACTTTACTGGTGAAAGTAGAAATTTTAGTGAGAAGTAAATTGTGGGTTATAGAAGACGTGACCCTGCAATCCAGCACGGCAGAAAATCCCTTTTATTCTAAGCCCTTGCAAACTCCATGATGGGGCACACATTGATCTTTGACAACCATTGAATACATTTCCCCAAATCAGTTTCCCATCAATCTGCAGAAAGCTTCAGAAGGAGAGCAGAGCATGAAGGTGTCCAAGGAGTGCAGCACAGGAATTCAGCTTTGGCTGCTCCAAGCTCTCTATGGATCTGATGCCAAAGCCTGCCTGTCTGATACAACAGCTGCTGCTCTCAAGGTGCAGTTTCAAAAGCCACCAAACAAAAGCAAGTTCCACGATCCCAGAATCACTGAATTGTTGTGTTTTGGAGGGGCTTCTCAGGATCTTGTAGTCCAGCCTCCAGGCTGCAGCAGGATCAGCTAGAGCAGGTTGTCCAGAATCATGTATTGTTGGGCTTTGGTGCCACAGCCTGGCTAAGGAGGTGAGGGACAAGTCAGCTGCACACTCTGGGGGACAGCTGAGGAGGAGAGGACTCGTTCCTCAGAGCTCTCTCCTGACGTGGGCAGCAAAGCAAAGCAGCTGGAGGCTCTGCCCACATCTTTGTGCCTTTGAGCAGAGCAGGAGGTGCCCTGAGGGACAGAGCTGGAAACACACCAGAGAAGGAAGCAGCACAGACTCTGACCAGGACATTTGTCCCCCTCTACTCTGCTCTGCTCAGACCCCACCTGCAGTGGTGCCTCCAGCTCTGGGCCCACAGCACAAGAAGGATCCAAAGCTGTTGGAGTGGATTCCAGTGGAGGCCATGAAGGTGCTCCAAGGGCTGGAGTGTGTCTGCTCTGGGGAGAGGGAGAGAGAGCTGGGGATGTTCAGCCTGGAGAAACTGCTGAGAGTGCAGTACCGCATGGGTCTCCAAGTGGGCTGGAGAGGGTCTTTGGACAAGGGTATGGACTGAGAGGACAGGAGGGAATGGTTTCACACTGATGGAGGGCAGGGTTAGATGGGATATTATAAAGCAGTAAATTACATTGAGCAGGCTGTGGTACGAGTAAAAGTTACCCAGAGCTGTTTTACTGCCCCATCCCTGGGGGTTTCAAGGCCAGGCTGGGGAGGGCTTGGAACAAGCTGTTGTAATGGAAGGTGTCCCTGCCCATGGAAGGCAGGTCAGAATGAGATGATGTTTAAGGCTTTAAGGTCCCATCCAAACCAACCCATTCTGTGATCCTGTGACATGTGGGAAAAGCCACCGATCCTTTTCCATTGAGGAAGTGAGTCCTATTTCTGGGAACAGGCGTTGTTGAACAGAGTAACCTTTCCACCGTAGAGATTGCTCAACCTCTTCTCCAGCTCTTCCAGGCTGAGCTGCTCTACCTTATTCTTGTTGTTCTCAGCAATGGCCCCCCAAGCATCTTTGGGCTCTTTTTTCCCCAAGCAGCAGGCAGCTGACCAGATGTGGCTGGGTCTGTTCACCCTGTTATTGGATACGTAGGTGTTCCCAGGCACAGCACCTGTGATCACATAGGTGGTTTTACAGTCCTGAGTCTTTTGGGGCATTGTTTTACACTCGTAGGCCATCCACTTGCCCGTGTTGAGAGTGCTGTCCTGGGGCACTATGTTGGTGAGTGTGAAGGTAGCAATCTTGGTCTCTTTACCGCACTGATGGCCACTGGGGCTCAAATGGCCACGGTCCAAACCCTTCAGTCCTTTGTAGTCAGCAAGAACAGCCTGGCTCTCTTTGATTTGGTCTAAGGTGAACTTGTGATTATTTATGAGGGTCATCTCGCTTGTCATCTCTTTAAGATTATTTTTACCTATAAGCTGGACAGGGAAAGAAAAAATGGTGTTAGAATAGGGAATGGGAATAATGGAGAAGATTTCCCTGGAGCAGAAGTCTCTGATGGTCAAGATGCCACTTTTTGTCATCTCAGTGTAGGAAAATGTATGAATCTGAGAGAAATCATACACATGCCCCTCCTGCATGAATACAAGAGCTTTAAAGAGCAAGCAGCTCAGAATCTGACTGCTCTCAGTTTGATTTGTGACCTTTGTGATCCAGCCTGCAGCCTTTGCTGGGAGCATGGGAGCATGGAAGCATGAGACAAGGAGCATTTCCCACTCCTAGGACTGAAAAGTGATTTTGGTGGGACTTCATCTCCCCTGCCAAATCTGCTTCCCTTTCCTCCTGTCTCCACAGCCCAAATCTGCCCAGGGCTCTCCCTGCATCCTCTCACATCACGCTGTGATGCTGTGATTCTGTGATTCTGTAATTTGGTGTGGGGTTGCTACAGGTGTAGCACAGTCCTGGACCACCAGAGGTTGGCTCCTGTAACCCCATACACAGGGAGATGTGTCAGGAAATCAGTCCCAGAGCTGAGCTATCCATGGGAGGGCTGCAGTTCATTGAAGGATGAACAGTTTTGCTCAGTAGGCAAAAAGCTCTCAATGTCAATGGAATCTGTTACAGCAATGCTGAGAATGTGTCCCAGAGCTGATCTGGGCCAGGGAGCATTTTCTGCAGCATTGCTGAAAATAGGTTACAAATGACCAGCCTTTGAGAGGAGCCTTTAATTCCAAAAGAGCCCTGGGGAAACTAAATACTCCAAAAATGCCTCTGGAGAAAGTTAAAAACATATCAAAGATTTTTTGGGTGTCTGGGGTCCAAGGTCCAGGAGAAAATGCCAGGTTGGACAGGGCTTGGAGCACGCTGGTCTGTCCTAGGTTGACTATATGATGCTTTTATCCCCAAACATCTTGTTCTGTTTATGCTGAATAAGAAGTTTTGCACCTTTAAGCCTTGTTCCAGAGAGTGAACGGGGGAGAGAAGAAGCAGCAGTTTGTTTTCATACACTGCACTCACTTCTCCATATTCCTGCTCCTAGCCTGTGCTGTCTGCGGACGGACAGACAGCAAGACAGAGCTCTCCTTTGCTTTTAGTTAGTTTAGCTAGCTGAGGCAAAGAAGTTCCCTGGACTGTGGATTTTTTTGCTTTTTCTTTGGACCTTTACAAACCTGCTCTGGACTTAACACCAGAGGAATGCCAGCAGCTCCCACCTGTGGCCCACCGGGCCGGGCCTGGGCCACAGCATTTCCCACACTGAGGGACTGCTAAGAGCCTGAGTGAGCTGAACTGCAACACGGGGAGGGACTTTTCTGAGTTTGTCACCTCTTTTGGGGCAGCAAGCGGTTTTATTGTTTAATACTGTTTAGGTTTTATTGTTTAATAAACAGGTTTTTTTCCACTTTTCTCCAAGGAGGTATTTTCTCCCAGACAGGTTGGGGGAGGGGCCAATTGAATCTGCTTTCCTAGAGGAGCCCCTTTGGCGGTTCTCTCCAAAATTTGCCCTGAACCAGGACATGGTCTAACAGCAAGTGGCCTGGCCCATGCAGGTGAGTTGGACTGAGATGATCTTTAAGGTTTCTTCCAACACCAACAATTCTATGATCCCTCAAAAAGACAGAATGTGGAGGCTGCAGTAGTGCAAGACCAGATTAGGTGCTTGAGTTCCTATGCATGAAATGAAATTATTATTTTTTTCATAACTTCAACATCTTTTGGTTCATCTTTAGGCAAACATATTTAGCCTTTCTTTGGAGTAGGGCATGTGGTTTCACCCTCTGGCTCACCTTCCCCCATAGCTGTCCTGCTACTCTGTCCTTACCAATGACAGGAATTGCTTCCTTTTCTCTTCTGCAATTGGCCTGGCCTGTTCTCCTGAGGTTTGTCTGAAGGACATTTGGGAAGGCTCTAGAGCTTGTGGAGTACTGTCTGTCTGCTGGATCCTTCTGGACCAAGCCTGAGCCAAAGGTGCTCAGGGGTCACTGCCCATGGATGGAGATCATACCCTTCTCAATGGACCAACACTGATGCTCCTCTGTGAAGACAATGGTGGGGGATTCCCTGGTTTAGGGAAACACAAGAAACTTCCCCCAAAAAGCTGATAGACCCTGTTGGCTCCTTCCCCAGTTCCTATGTCTGTTCCTATGCCCCTGAGCCACATCTCCCTATTCCCTGACTGGCCCTCATCTTTCCAATGCCCTAAGACCAAGCTGACCCCCAGGCCCCGTGGCAGGCCAAAATTTTCACCCAGTATGTGTGGGTGCTGGGACCTGAACATTGCACCGCACGGCTGAATAGAACATCTGTGCATTTTATGCAAAGGCCCCTTAGGCTTCCTTACCAGAGACTATACTAGCAGCAATTCAGCTTGCTACATTCCTCACTTCTAACTGCTTGAAATGTCCCTCCAAAAATCCCTCCCCAGTTAACATGATCCTCTCATCTCCAGTGCCCTTTTCCCTGAGGCTTTGTCCCTGGGCCATCTCACCCCTTCTGAGTTTCTCCTCACTTCTCTATCAATCACAAAGCCTGTTTAACACTTCACTGGGAGCAGATAAGCTCTGCCAGGGATGCAGAACAGCTCAGGGCAAAGTGGGG